AGCTCGGACTGGGTTCCCGGCCACTGCTTCTCCTCTGTTCTCCTTAGGGAAAAGGAACCTAGGAAGTTGGCCCTGGGGTCGTCTGAGAGTGCTGGAATATAATGGACAAAAAAGAGCTTTGTAATAAAGGAATCTGCAAACATTAAAGTCCAATGATCCAAAGATGTCTGAGACCCATTTTAAGACTTTCTTCAGGCGCTCCTCTGCCTCCTGAATGCCCTCCGCCCCTTGTGCTGGCACACTCCTATCCACCCTTTAAGACCCAAGCGAAAAGTTACCGCCACCAGGAAGCCCTCCCTGACCCCTCAGGTATAGTGGGACCTCATAGGTGTTTTGTTTTTTTTTTTTTATTTCTGCTCTTCTGCCTCCAACAGACACACCACAAAGCCCAGCAGGGCAGGGTCCTGTTTTAACCATCTCTTGTTCCCCGGGTCTGGGACTGTGTCTGGCACAGGGTAGATGTCCTGGAAAGGTGGAATGAGCCAGAGCTTAAATGCGTATTCTGTTAGTCTATAAACCCAGCTGTGCGTGGACGGTTCTCCTGACAAAGACGAGGAGCCTGAAGTGAAAGCAAATCACCATCATTTCAGGAGCCCACTCAGGGAGCCGTGGAAGAAATTCTTGAGCTGGATTATGGAAGGAATTTGCCTTTATTTTTAATTTGTGCCGATATCTAAGAAAGCGGCACTTTCTTTTCAACCCATCATGCGCCGGGGAGCTTCCAATCTGGCGCAGGAGACAAACTTTCCCAATTTCCCAATGCAAATCTCGCAGCCTCGGCAAAGCGGCCGTCTCCGCCCTCCGCCGGGCATTTCTCAGATGCTTGCCAGCAAGGAATAATCAGATTATGTAGCTGGGTTTTAAAAGATCACGGTTTGTCTCATTTTCCAGGGAAGTGTGAACCAAAAAAAAAAAAAATTCTTTTCTTCCTCCCAGGGCTCTGTTAAAAGCTTCCAGAACTTACTTAATTCAGTGTTAAATGGGTGTAATTTGGGAAACTCATGCATTATTTCTTAATTTCTTGAAGGCGAGTTTCCACTCATCTGCTGGGGTAGGTGTGCATGTGAACAGATGGGCAGTGATGGAAGTGTGTGCCCCAGACTGGTGAGGAAAGGGGGCAGCCAGCCCACAACACGCCAAGGGAACGCTCCATTCATGGCTGGTGGCTGGAAACGTGGAACAGGAGGCGTTTGCATTTCATCTCACGGCTTCTGCTTCTCTGCTTGCATGGCCAGGGAGGGCGAGATTCTGAAGCCTTTCCCTGACGGGACAGCCTCAGGGTTTTGGGGGCAAATTTCATGTCTGCACCCCCTTCTCCCACGCCAGGCAGAGACCTCAGATGCCCCCGAACGATGCCAACAGGGCCGACATCATATCGTGAACATCCTTGACCTTCCAGGATGCCCAATTCACTGGGACCTTGAGCACACCGCCAGTCCGCCCTGGGCCCCAGGGTCCCCACTTACATGGGTAAGTGTACAAGCTTCGAGCTCCCTATCAGGCCCTAAAGCAGCAGCTCCTTAGGGCTTCCTGACATCACAGTACAACACACGGGCCTCGGAGATGCTGGGGTCCCTGACTTTATCTGCCCCTTCCCCAGCTGTAGGATGCAGAGGGTAGGGGCTCCCACGCCCCAGACTCTGCCCGTGACTTTCCCCACTGCAGCCCTCATGAAACCCGTTAGGCAGGTGCTAAGTCGCTGCACTGTTGAACAAGAAAACCCAGGCTCAGCCAGAAAGAGCTTTGCCAGTGAGTGGTCACATCAGGACGTCCAGAGAAGACCCTCTGGAAAATGTTCAACCTGCTCGCAGCTAAGGGGGAAAGGAAAGAGCGGCTCGTCACATGTAGGCCAAACTGGGGTATGGTGGGGTGCACTGGCAGGTCCAAGGGTGCTGGGACAGCCACGGTCTCAGCTCAGAGAGGTATTTGTTCATACAGTCAGTGGTCAAACAGATCCTGCGCCCCGGGTCACATCTTGGGGCAGGTTTGAGGGGGCTTGGCTGCTTCTTTACCTTCCTAGGGAGTCAGACACTGCAGAAGGCGGTCAAGGAATGTGTGTGCTGGAGGGAGGGGGGAAGGAAGGGAGAAAAAAGGGGGAGAAGGAGAAAGGAGGCGGTGAGGCCTCTCCCCTGCCAGCAAGCCCTGTGCTGACACCAACAGAGTGGGTAGCACCTGGCATCCCCCCGGGAGACTGTGGCCAGGGTGGGCAGGGCCTCTGGTCACCCTCCCCACTTTCACTGGCTCCAGATAGTCAGGACCCCACCTGCCAGGAGAGTGTTTAGGAACCAAGGACCCACAGTGCTCAGGAGTTGACTACTGCTTCAGCAACTTGTAGAAAGAGTGGCTGGGATGGGGAAAAACCACTCTGGGAGAGCTGGAGGTGGGCTCTGAGTTCATCCTAAGATTGATATGAATCTGTTGTGAGACTCAGCCGGAGAGAAGCTGAAGCAAGAGGTTGCATTAATAGAGGTAGAACATCCCCAAGGAGGGAGGTGATCGTTTTCCTCTGAGCCTAAGACGGGCCACACTCTGGATCAGTCCAGAAGAGAGTGAGCAGGGTAATGACTAGGAGGACATGAGACTCAGCAAAGTGTCTGAAGAAAACACTAGGGTCACCGTCGGGCACAGGCTGAGCTCCAGGTGGTAGAGCATAGTGTTAGGAGCGTGAGAGTAGCTGGGTTACTTTTCACCTCCCTGAGCCCGTTTTTCTCAGCAGTACAACTGAATTAACAATGGCTTGCTCACACGGTTGGTGTGCAGAATTAAATGGGCTCAGTGCCTGCCCTGCACAGGGCCTAGCGCACAGTGGGCCTCTGAGCTTTCACGGTCAAGGGCAATCCCACTGCCGTTCAGGCAAATCCTTATACTCGTGACAATGAAGTCGTCACAGATGCGGGCAGTTGGAGCTGCCAGATCTGGTGGCCACTTGCTACTTTCCCCTCCCAGCAGCAGCCAAGGGCCAGGACAGGAAGCGGTCCTCTCCCACCATGCTGGCCAGAATAGGAGAGAGGCTGGCAAGGTGGGGGTGGATTGTCCTAGAGAGCTGGAAAGCAGACTCTCCTTGTTCTTCCAAACCTCCCTCTGCCCACCCCAATCACAGGCTCCACCCACAGGCCGTGGACCAGTCCATGAACCTGACCATCCCTCCCTCCTCCCTGCGCCAGTCCCACGACCTAACCCACACCCAGGATGGGCGGCGGCGGTGGTGACCTGCTCTCCCGTCCTAACCCTGCTCCGACTGCACCATCTCCCCCTGCGCCCTAGTCCTGCAGCCCCTCCCCACCCCCCACCAGGCCCCACTTCCGAGCCCCGCCCGCCCGTCCACAGGATGCCTCCGTCCCTGCTGTGTGTCCACATCTGTGCCCCTGGAGGGGCTCCGCCAGGAAAATACCACCGCTCCTCTCTTCTGGCTGATTCATGCCTGCCTGCCTTCCGGACCGGGCTCCCCCAGCCCTGAAGCCACCGCAGGGTCTCTGGGCAGATTCTCCCCACTTGCATCCCCCCACTCAGCCTCCCCTCCCCACTGGCTTGTCGGGGACTGGTTTCCCTGAGAGCTGCCAAGGGCAGAGCTGCCGCTCTCCAGCAGCAGACGTGGGGGCTCTCGGAGTCTGGCTGAGGAAGAGGAGTGAGCGAAGGAGCGAATACACAGTCAGAGGGATGGCTGGATGACACCCTCAGCTTCCTTGGGACCTTGCTCTCTCTCTCACTCACAAAGGTCTGAGCAGCGCTGGCCCTGCCCCCACTCAGCCTGTCCAGTCCAGCTGCCCCCGATAAGCTCCAGGCTGGTGGCCTGTGAGAGGCGGGGTGGGACACACACATGCACACACACAAACACCCCACATGGCTCAGAGCGAATCTCCCCTCTTCCAGCTCCCCCCACCAGTCCAACACCTCCCAGGGGCCTGAGACCGAGTGGAGAATTCAGTGTGATGGTGACAGAAAAGAAACGCAGGAACCCCTCCCTGGGGCTTTCAGCTCGAGCCTCGAGAGGTGGGGGGGTGCCTGGCCACAGCGAACTTCCCAGCCACCTCCTGCCCCACACTCAACCAGTCTGGACAGGCACAGACCACAGCCTCTCTGGGGGAGACGGATTCGTGCTCAAGGACGTGTTCCGCCCTGAGCGGACACCGGTCTAGGGGGTAGTGGGGGACAGATCCCAATCCCGGGCAACACTGACCAGCACGGCTACGGTCCTGGCTGACCCCAAGGACCGGGGCTGGGCTGCCGGCGTCCTGCCACCTTCAGCCCACCTGGCAGGTGAGGGAACGGGGGTGACGGAAGAGCTCCCTTTAGCCTGATCTGAACGCAACTTGCTGGCTCAACTGGATTTCCACAGCAGCCCAGAGTGAAATTTGCGGGACGCCGGTGACTATAAAGACACACTGGGGTCCAGGCCCTCATTCCACACTAGGAAATAGGCCCAGAGCAGGACAGGCACCTGCCCAGGGTCACACAGTCAGAACTCACAGAGCTTCCTCGGTGTGACCTCGCAGCAACCTTCAGAGGTGGGCATGGCGCCCGTGCTACTTTACAAGATGGGGAAACAGGGGTGCAGAGGGCTCAAGCGCCTTGCTCAAGGTCACACAGCTGTGGGGAGAGAGGGCTGGAGGCCGCTGGGGCAAAGCACTTTTCGCTCTTCCCATCCCGGCCTGGGCTTGCCTGGGCAGGAGCAGCAGTCACTAAGACAAGGGATCCGAGAGGTCAGGAGAGGCACAGGAGACAGAAGGCACGCTGGCAGATTATATAAGTCGCCTTCCCAGCCCCACTGCCCCAGGGGTGCCGCCGGAAACCCGCTCAGGGCACCAGACCCGGGAGGTCGGGGCCTGGCCCACCAGCCAGCATCGGCTTTCTCTGAAGAGATGACAGTTGGAGGCGCCAGGACACACTGGCTTTTCTTCCTCCTTTCTGGTTTCCTCTGGCTGAGTAACAAATACTAACACTGATAATGATAATAATAATTAGAATAAATATAACCTGAAGACGCTCGGGGTCTCGTTGCCATGGCAACCGTTGGCGCTAAGGCGTTTCGGAGGCCGCCGCCAGGCCACCCGGCCCCCGGGCGCGGAATCAATATTGATTCGGCCCCAGGAGGAGGCAGCGGCTCCACTGGGAGCACGCGGCGAGTGGCGAGCGAGGGGCACGCACTTGGAGAGGCCTTCGTGATCGCCCACGCCGCCCAGCCGGGACCCTCGGAGCCGGTCGGGCCCCCAGCCTGGCTCCGGAACCCTGCCCGGCGCGCACGGGGCTCCGGGTTCGCCCCGTTCCCGTACTGGTCCTCGGACGCCAATCCCCGCCTCGGACGCGAAAGCCGGTGCCAGCGGCCGCGTCCCTGCGCGGTGCGCCTGGACCGCCCCTCGGACCCGGCCCAGGTCCTCTCCAAGGTTCAGCGACCCCGACCTTGGAGAGCCCTGGCGCGGACCCCAGTGCCGAGGCGCCGGCTCCCCGACGCGGCTCCCGCCCCCAGACTCTTCCGCGGGCGTCCCCGGCCCCTTTCCACAGCATCCCGGACCCCACGATGCTCCGAACTTGCCTCTCCCAGGGCGCCCACCTCTCCCCGCCCGCCTCGGGCGCCCGCATCCCCTTTTCGCCGAGCCCGGGAGCCGACGATCCGCGCCCCCCGCCCCAACTCGCCGGGACCCTCCTCCTCCAGGAGCTCCGCCCCAACCCCTCTCCCCAGCTGCGCTCGGACCCCCGGCCCGGCGCGCCCCTCCCCCGCGCGGCCCCAGCCCGGCCCGCCCCCGGGGCGCCGCTCACCTCCTGCCCGCCGCCCGCTCGCTCTCCGCTGCGCCGCGGGGAGTCGGCGCCCGCGGGGCTGAGCCGCCTGCAGGGGAGCGGGGCCGCCCACGCCCCCGCGGTGGCCCCGCCGCCGCCGCAACAGTTGTCCCGGCTCCGGGGGGCTCCGGGGCCAGTGCCGGGAAGGCGGCCGCTCTTACGCGCGCCGGGCGCGGGCGCGGGCTCGGGCTGGGGCTCCGGCTCGCGGACCGGCCGCCGGCCGCTTGCCCCGCCGGCCGCCCCGCCGCTCCCGCCCGCCAGCCGGCTACTGGGCGGCCCGCGCCGCCCGCCCGCCCGCCGGCCCGGAGCCCCGCGCCGCGCCCGCCGCCGCCGCCGCCGCCGCCGCGCTCATGCTCGCCGGCCCTGCGCTCGCCGCCGCCGCCGCCGCCGTGCCTACTTCACTCTTTGCCGCTCGCCGCTCGCCCTCTGCTGCCCCCTCTCCCGGCTCGCGGCGCCCCGCGCTCCCTCCCTAGCGCCCGCGGCTCCCTTCTCTCTCTCTCTCCCCCCCCCCCCCTCTGTTTTTCCTTTCGCAATCTCTCTTCCTCCCCTCGCTCGCCCTCTCCCCGTTCGCGTGTCTCTGCGTCTTTTCCCTTTGGCGACCTCCTCTTTCGTTTGTGCTTCCCCCTTTCTCACTGTTTCCTCCCCGCCTCCCCCCTTCCTTCCTTTCTGCTGTCCCCTTACCGCTCTCCTTCCTCTTTCTTCCCTTCTGTTCCTTTCCTTTCTTCCGTCCTCCTCTCGGCACCCCTTCTCCGTCTCCCCAGCCCCGCCACACTCACCTGCCTCCTTCCTGGCCGCTCCCCAGCCCTCGGGCCGGCGCAGCTGTTGTAGGGGCGCGGGCGGGGGCCACGCCAGCCCCGCTCCGGCCACCTGGCTGCAGGCCGGGCAGCCCCTCCAGCCTCCCCTCCTCCGGCGGCCGGCCGCTGGAGGGCCCCACCTGCCGCGCGCCTCCCGCTGCGGGTTCTGAGCCAGACATCCCTTCCAGGCGGCCCCTCCTCCGGAGGCGCTCAGGGCCGGGGTCAGGCTGAGGTGGCCCCTGGCAGGGTCAGACTTGGGCCGGAGACTCCTTCTCCGCAGACCAGATCTGGACAGTTTCCAATGAGAAAACCCCGACTTCCTTGGGCCTCTTTGAGGACGGAGTGGGCTCCCCGCCCCTGTTCCAAACCCCCCTTCTCTCCACTTCTCCTCCCCAGCAGCCACCCCGTCCCCCATTGCACCCCTCACCTGCACAACCTCCCCAGGCCAGATCCAGCCAACCTCACTAAGCCTCAGTTTCCCCACCTGTCCCCGGCCCAGTGACCTCTGGGGGGTAAAGATGGTCGTGTAGGGGACATTGCAGCCTCTTCAAGGGCCTGGCAGAGGGAATGGCAGTGAGGATGGCTCCTGATCGGTGGATCAGGAAGGGAGAGTGGCTTTGAGTGCCCCGGGAGGCAGGTGGACCTCAGCCCTGCAAACCCCACATCCGCGGCGTCACCGGCTCTGGCTGCATTTTTACAGACATTGATTGCAGCTCTCCAGAAACCAGGCTGAGCCTGCCACACACCTTATTTGACTTATTCCTCACCAGAGTGCTGGGTCCTGGCTTCCTCATTTTACAAGTGAGGCAGTTGAGGCTCAGAGAGGTTAGAGCAACTGCCCTGAGCCACACAGCTGCAAAAGGACAGGACCAGGGTTCCAGCCTAGATTCCCCCCCACCACCACCCACCCCTGACTTCCAAGCCCAGATTCCACACCTTTGACAGCTTCCTTTCCTAAACAGGTCACAGCATCATCTCCTTCACGAAATGTTTTAAAGATTAGATGAGGTGGGATATTTGACGCACTTTGCCCAGCACTTTGCCCCTCCCAAGGAGGAGAACCATGATTACCCCATGGGATGATGGAGACCAAGGAGCGAAGAGGTTACAGAGCAGGCTGAGGGCCCAGTGCTGGACTGGAGCTGGGGGGACTTAGGTTGAGAGGTGACTGTTCCCTGTGCTGGGCTGGGCTGCCCTCTGTGTGCGTCCAGGGCTCTGCACCTTCCTTTCCCTACAGTCAGGCTCCCTAGCAAAGCCACTTCACGTCCCTGAGCCTCAGTTTCCTCACCAACGAAATGGGAATCATTCTACCCCTGCAAAGAATCATCATGGGGATTAAATGAGAGGCTGCATCACATAGGAGACAGTCCTATTGATTATCCTAAATAAGTGAGTGCCGTGACCTACATCAGTGGCCCTTCTGTCCTTCCATAAAATGGCAGAGTGGACAGGAAAATGCGTGGGGTTTGGAACTGGTCAGACTTGGAGTTGACTCTCAGCTTGACCATTTACCAACTGTGTGCCCGCAGGCAAGGTCACTTCTCCCAACTCCTGGGCACTGGTTGCCTGAGGCTTTGATAGCTAATATCCATGAACCTGGTGGCTTAAAACAGCATATCTTTATATTCTCTTACAGTTCTGGAGGCTGGAAATCCCCAAATCAGTGTCCCTGCCCTGCAGGGAGGTTCTCAGGGAGAATCCTTCCACTTCCTGGTGGCTGCCGACACCCTTGGCTTCTGGCCCTTTCAAACCAAGCATCTTCCCGCCTGTCCCTGCCCCATCCCCATGTGGGTCTCCATGTGGCTGCTCCTTTGTGTATGTCAGAGCCCCCAACCCTGCTCCTCTGTGATTGCATTTAGGGTCCACAGATAATCCAGGATAAGCTCCCGTCTCAAGATCCTGACCTTAATCGCATCTCTGAAGCCCCTTTCTTCCCGCCCTATATAAGGTAAGGTCCTCAGGTTCCGGAGATTCTTCGCAGGCTATCTTTAGGGGGTGAGGGGAGTATTTTCAGCCTCTCACACGCTGTGCATCCATGGAAGCAGGACAGGGCAGACTCCTGGGATCTCTGGAGCAATAGAGTGAGACCAGTAAGAATACTGGACCCATTCAACAAATATTTGTGTATTTCCACTCTGGGCGGGGCTGGGGAGGAAATGAAGGGGGCTGGGCTTTGCGGCAATGACCCCTGACCCTGCTAGCGGCATTTCTGAGCACCTACTGTGAGTGGAGCTGGGCGGGTGCTCCACTCCTCGGCTGCCTTTAATCCCGGCCCTATTTACTATTTCTCTGTCTTCGGGAGGCCTGCTCCCCCGCAAACGCTGCTCACCCGGGCGGGGCGGCCTGGCGGATGACTCACGCTCTCCACCGAGAGAGCAGCCTTTTCAAAGGGCTGGCTGGGGAGGGAGCTAAATTTAAAGCCAGGCTTCCCGAGAAGATCACCTGCCACGTCAAAATTGCTGCTGTTTAATTAGAAGTGGGGGGTGGGGGCGGCCGACAGCCAGGCCCGGCGAGCCCCTCTGGGAAGCGGGGAGGGAGGCCCGAGGAGTCTGAGCCCCTGAGCCCCGGGGGGGTGGGCGGAGGAGCCGCAACCCGCCAGCAGGCTGGCTCTGCCATCATCCCGCACCTCCCTAGGGAACAGCCCCCCGCAGTCCCAAGGACCCCGGGGTCCTTCCGCCTCCCTGCTCCTCAGCCTCCGACTCAAGATCTTAGGCTTCTAAGCCTACACTTCCCAAATTCCAGACATAAGCAACTGGGGCTCCCCCTGACCAAGTCATCCCGCCAAGCTGGGGTCCGAACTGCGGGCCTGGCTTGGGGGCCACTTGGTCCCTCAAGGAAGTGGACGGAGGTGGTGGGCAAGGCGCTCAGCTCTTTGAGCCTGTTTCCTTCTCAATCCAAGGAGGCTGCAGTCCCCAGGCTGTGGTCTGCCTAACGCTGGAAGGTACTAACTACAGCCCGTTAACCTGCGAGGAAAGGAGGCCCCAGGAGGAGCCTGCCCTTGGCCAGTCTCCTGCCGCCCCGCCCTGCTCCTTGGAGGCACCGGGGCTGTGTCCCTGCCGTCCTTATGCCCTTGCTGCTCGCACTCTCCCAGCTGGCTCTGGGAGTCACGGGTGGTGGCAAAGCCTCCTTGTGGCTGCAGGGTGGGGTCAGTGGACGGCTGGGCATCCCAGTGATGAGGAACACCGGTTCTGGAGCGGGGTGCTGAGCTGGGAGCCCCCGGAGGCCTGGGTTTGCTCTTCTGTAAGATGTTGTGAGTTTTGATTTTTCCAGGCCATTCACATAGTAGGTGCTCAGTATGTGCCATTGTTGTCCAGTCGCTCAGTCGTGTCTGACTCTCTGTGACCCCATGGTCTGCAGCACGCCAGGCTTCCCTGTCCTTCACTATCTCCTGGAGCTTGCTCAAACTCATGTCCATGGAGCTGGTGATGCCATCCAACCATCTCATCCTCTGTTGCCCCCTTCTCCTCCTGCCCCCAATCTTTCCCAGCATCAGGGTCTTCTCCAAGACCCTGCCATAACTGCCATGGCTGAATGTTCTTCTCAAGACTTGTGAGAACAGTCAGTCATCTGGTTCAGAGGCCTTCCTAAGGCCAGACACGCTGTACTGATGCCAAGTTGTGCCAGGTGAGGGGCTATAAACTTGCTGGGGCCTCCCCCTGCCTCCCTCCTGGGCCACAGGGTGTGACACAGTTTCTCCTCTGGCCCTGGCAGGAAGTCTGGCAGAACCATTGACAGCCCTCCTAGCCAAGAGGAAACTGGGCTTCTGTTTGCTTTGAAAAGGTACTTGGCAGACCCAGTTTCAAGAGGGCCTCACC